CCGATCAGATCGGGGCATGGAGTTAGTAAGTAGAGCCGCTCAAATACAACGAATATCGTTGTCCATAGCATTGTAACCGAAGACGTCTAGGTGCGGACCCGAGAAGTCGTTTGCTTGAGATTACGTTAGCCACTCGAAGAGAGGTCCTTAACAAACCTAGCCTCAGATAAGCTGAATTTGGAGTGCATCCCATCGAATATTTGATGGCTGACGGCTATCGTTTTCGGGTACATGCAAAAAGACAACCACTCGTAAAAACATCGGCCACTTAATTGAGCCGAATAAATATATAAATCATAACAATTATGAGCGGTTCCGCGGTCACTTCCTGTCTGACGACAGCCACAGATACCAAATGCGTTTTAAACAGACGAGCACGACCGGAGTGATCCGTTGAGGGCCTGTGCTGCTACGTGTACCGGTATCATACCCAAATTTTAGTGTTCCCTTGTTCCTATTGTTAGATACCTGCTATTTTCCGATGATTTGTAAATATCAGACAGAGAGAAGGTAGTAGAAACGCTTGGTCGATATAAAATCTTGTATGCGCATCGCCATCATGAGAAAGCAAATGGTCAGTGTGCAAATTTTGCCGGATGAAACTGATATTTCGAATAGCTACTGTCTGTCAACGAAATGTAACCAAATAATAAATTTTGGATTTAATTATATTGTAATGTTCTTAAAGCAGCACCTAAAACAACCAATGGTTCGATTAGAATATCACGAAACAAAGATCAAAACCCGTAGTGAGAACATGTTCCGTAGCTTTGCTTTATCCAGACGTTTACCTTCGACAACCCCTCATCGCTTTGCCCAGACATTTATTTCGAACGTTAACTCGCTTGCAACATGACGTTGGCTACGTAACATAGATACGAGCGAAGATCAAGGTGCACACAGGGCGAGAGCGACGCCTAATCTATCGCTTATGGCGCCGCCCGTGCTAGTTATGCCGTGATGATCACCGTCGTTTCCATGCATCTGACAGCCGCTCACCCCAAAAATGGTGTCACGTTGTCTTCCGGAAGTAGCGGCATCCGGCATCTTGCCGCTGTGCATTTGCCGATTCGCTGTTTTAGCGGGGCACCGTCGACGCAAGTGACCAAGAAACGATTTCGCACCTAACTGCCTGGTGTAACTCGTTGTCGCTAGCGTCGAGCGGCTAGCTGCGAATTTGCGCAGCTGCTCTTGCCGTCGCTGTTGTTATTGTTACTGCTGTTGTCATTGTCGCCCCGTTTACTGTTACGCTCATTATCATCTCCTGCCAGGCATCATCGTACTAAAGGCAGACACTTAGGAGAAAGAAAGCCGCCCCAGTGGTATCGGCAGCAGTAAGATGGCAGACGTGGTCGTTCCTCGATAGTCGCCACCTATCTATAGCGTAGCTGGTTTGCGACAAGACCAGTCATGTACGGGTGGACAGTATCGGCGTCAGTAGCTGTTACTGAGCTAGGATCGATGAAAAACACCGAGCTAGCTCCAAAAAAAAGTAAACGAATAGACCGGGCGTAATAGCTCAAGACTCAATATGCAATGGCTGTGCGTGTGTGAAATCAGCTTTTTAGAAATAAGTATTCTACAGGTATATGCACATTTACAGGACCTATGTCGTCTCAGTAGTGCTGGATACTCGCCGTTGGTCTGGCACTCGTGTATATTATCATTCCAATTGGAGCTCCTGAAGGGATCAAAATGAACGCTAACATTAGCAGATGCTAGAGGGAGATGGTGGTACGAAAAATTGTTAGGAAAGCTACTAGTCTTTGTCGTAACGGTTATATATGAGGTTTACGCATCTACAGATACGTACGTGAACCAGCACGGTATTAGCCAATAGTTATTAAAATTACGAGCTTAGTTATATGTTTGAGTTCGAATAAAACAGTGCTGCCAGAACGGTGGCAAAAAAATGCGCCAGATAAGCTGTGGCCCACGAAAACGGCTGAGAACAATCACTTATATAGGTAGTCTATCTTTCTTTCTATGCTGTAAAATGTGAAACATTTTCAAACGGAACGTTATCAATCACGTAGATGACGTTTAATGAGTACGAATAGTTTTTTTGGCTTTGCTTCTCGTCTCGTCTCCACCGTGCATCGCCGTGGCGTAACATTAAAGTATCTTTGCTATAGACGAGATCGGATCTAGCATCGGCATGTTATGGTAAAATGCGATAGGTGCACCCCCCACCGGACTCCATGGAACTGAACCTCAGTCAACGTCAAATAAACGTACGTGGATTGGTCACGTCAAATGAGCGTGAGTGGATCTCTCGTCATACACGTCGGCACGAATTAGAGGATTATAAGATAAATGGGAACATTACGATAGCATTCGAGATCATGACCCGTAGGTAGCAGGCCAGCAGACGGTTTCGGCAAGCTTACCCGCTTATAGTAGTATAAATAGCGAAGACGCTTTCGTAGCAAACTGGGAGATGAGAAACACGCCCTATAGTTGCTGCGTACGACGAACCGATAACGGAAACCGCAATCATGATCACCACTGCGTATGGACCCATTAGCCCCATGTCCATCCACCACAATCGACATTATAGCAATATTACGTTATTATTGCAGCGGTTACTGTTGCTACCGTCGTGGACAAGATCAGCCCGTGCTAACAGTATCGGAAAGGAAGCACACTAGGACATGAGCGTCGGCGTACGCAGCGTGATACCAGCAACGTCCCCGCCACAACTACACAAACGGATCTAGCCAGAGAGATTAAGAGGAAAAAATAGAAGAGAGGTGTTGGCCAAAACGGAAAAATTGTCACTATTCTTCACTTGCGGCTGATGGGGCGCAAGGAGTACTGTCTGCGCTGGCACGACTCCTGCGTTCCTCACGATTACTATTCTAACGACCTCCATACGGGATCGGTCAGAGTACCGCGTGACCAATCTGCCTCCCGCATTTACTTGTTCTTTGTCTGACACTGTCTATCCGTCTGCTTGGCTCTTCATGAACTGTCTATTGAAGCGGTATTGGCTATCACTGCTCGGCGATCGTTTTTCGTATGTCGTCGTTTCCACGTCTACACATTTAAGCCGAAGGCAGCTGCGACGTTAGACGCTCACGGCGGAAGTGGTTGGATCGTTTACCGTTCTCTCGTTCATCCTTTCCGTTTCTTCGCTCTCACGCATCCCTTGATTGTGTCATCTGGGCTCCCTCCGTACAAATTTCATCGCTTGCTCACCTCGACGGGCCGGTAAATAGGCGGGCACAACGTGAACGTACAAAATGAGTATCTATGATACGTCTGTGTTTACGCCGACAATCAGCCGCAGCAGCGATTTCTATCGCTGTAAGGCTCTGTGCGTTTTGGTGCAGCTCCATGCCATTGCAATGATGTGTCACCCAAATCGCTACAACGTCCTTGTTTCTAGCGACGACAGGGTCCAGATTGCTGGCCTTATCCTCGTCGCTTTGTTCCGTAAATCTCATCTGTTTCGAGCGAAAAAAATGCGGCGATTTTCAGTATTTTTTTTTTTTGTCGCCAACGATGACGACGACAACGACGACGCTGATGGTTTTTACAATCGAAGCCATAGAAGCAAACGTCTTATTTCGCTGTTATTGGTTGATTGTACAACAAGCGCATTGACGAGAACGTGAGATGCCAAACACGCCTAGAGAACAGGCGGTATGGATCTCCTAAATAGTGATATCTGCCTAGAAAAACGGAACTCATTGAGTTCCGTTAGCAGTTAGCAGAGAGGCAGTTGGTAATTCTAATAGGTATGTATATAGATGCTTTTCGATAGGTGGCGTCCTGCGAGGGAGCAACCTTGTCGGCGGCAAAACGAGAAACTCGGTCGATTCGCTGCTTGTGACACAGCACTAAACAAGCCGTAAAAAAGGTCAACATCACAAATCGAGCGAAAGCCGGTCGAATAGGACATAAAAGGACAGACAGTAAATTGGGAGATATTGAGCAGTGTTAAGTGGCCGAGTTGATCCCTTCTTCACTTCTTCCATGATCTCCCACACCACGTCTCGTATCGGAGCCTACAGCGTTAGGTGGCATGACATACCGCCGTCAATAGAAGGCTCTCCGTCATACCTCTCGCCATCCACCGGCACTGCCAAGACAACAGCAACACAACAGATTAGGAAAATTATTCCTAATCTCAGTGGCAGGTCTGTTCGCTTAAACAAACGCTAACGTTTCTCACCTCTAGCTGACTCAGCAATGTGGTTAAATCGGCTAAAAGCCGTTCGTGGGGAGGCGGGTAAAAGGTAGACGATAGATGCATTTATATCTGTCGTGACGACATGGATCGACTGAACGACGTGCTCCGCTTTTTTCTAATATAGCGGCACCACGAAAGGGAACGCTGCAACGTGTTTCTACCTGATATCGGTGCTACCGTAAACGTGGTGGCTGTCACCATCACTGGCTGCCTTTCGGTAGTAAGCAGCATCCATTTCCGCCCTTTCTGGCAAGCCACTGTATCCTGACTGATGTAATCACCGTAATCTCGTTTATTATGGGCTGTCCTACTGCCAATAGGGAAACCTGTGGGACTACAGTACTTCCAGTATGATACCGCTGGCGTAATCAAGAAGAAATAGATGTATATGTAGGAAAAGGGAGAAAGAACATATTAAAAGACGTTCACATGATTCTACATTGTTCTTTAGAGCGTTGTTATTTTCTGCTCTCTTAGATAGGTTTTATTTGGCTGGCATTTTCTAACTAGCCCCCGTGGGCTAAGCTAATCTCAGGGATACGTTGTAGTCTAGGTTCGAACTTGGGCGTAGAAAGACAGACTTCGTTTCGTACTGGAAACCAGCCATTTTCAGCCAGACGGAATGGCTACAGCGATACCGGATTTAAAACTCGAAACATAGAGGTATTTGCTAACCAACATATGCATGCAGTTGGACCGCACCATTGGTCATGATATTCGTATGTCTTTTACGGATCAACACTTTATATTAACGAAATACGTTCTCTTGTTTCTATTGATTACTTCGTTATTGGTGTTTCAGGGATGGAAACAAATATTACGTTGTGGCAGTTTCTACTTGAGCTGCTAGTTTCCAATCAGCATCGACATATCATCTCGTGGACGAATAATGAGGGTGAATTTAAGCTTATCAATGCCGAAGAGGTTGCACGACTATGGGGTTTACGCAAGAACAAACACAATATGAATTATGACAAGCTTTCCCGCGCGCTCAGGTAAGACGGTATCCGAAGTATTTGGCGCAAAACACCTTTACTCGTTCCATGTCTTTATTCGTTCTCCTCTATAGTTGTTTTATGCAGATGAGTGTTGATATAGGATCAATTAACGCGTAACTGTTTGAACGTTTGACTAGCAAGCCCGTGCGTTTGTTGATGTGCTGCGCGGGGGACCTTGTGACTTGGTCTTTTCCCTTACCTTATTTACCTCTCTCTCTCTCTCTCTCTCTTTCTCTCTGCCTCTTACTACTAGGTACTACTACGACAAGAACATTATCAAGAAGGTGTTAGGCCAGAAGTTTGTCTACCGGTTCGTCACGTTCCCCGAAGTTGTGAAGACGGAAAACAAGATCCCGTTCCATGTGAAGATGGAGTCAATTTCGTCGCAGCCCTCACCCCCGTATAGTTCTGAGTCGTACTCGCCCGGTGGGTACTCACCGCAGCGGATCGCGTCATACAGTTACCCAGCCGTGCCTCAGCCATCAAGTCCTCGCCAGGCTGAGGTCCGACAGGCGGCGATGCAGGCGGCGATGAACTACCAGCATGCCATCAAACTGGGTGAATATGAACACCAGATAAAGATGGCAGCCGCTTACCAGCAGCAGCTCGAGCAACAGCAACAGCAGCAGCAGCAGCAGCATCACCAGCAACAGCAACAGCAGCAGGTGGAACTTCAGCTGCAAAGGCGAGCGAATGAAGACCAGACAAGTCCACCGCCTCCACCTCAGGTGGCTCCCCAGATGCCTCCTCAGATCAAGAGCGAACCAGCTAGCGCCGACGACGCTGAAGATCTAAGTGTCCGACCTCGTGACCGAACAGGTTCGGATAGCTCTGTTCATACAGGTAAAGCGGGCGGGATTTCGGAGCACGGCGCCTGGAATCTCAGCGCTCGAAAGCGCTCAGTCGATGAGGGACGCAAACCTGATGAGGTCAGCTCCAGTCAGTCACAGTCATCCGGCCTTCAACCAACCTCTCCGCTACCCATCCACAAAAAAATCAAACAGGCCATGATTGCGCAGATGCAGGCTGCCTCGCAGAACGAGTCGGATACGGACAGCTGTTCCAGTCCGAAATCTTCTAGCTCTTCAACGGTACCCTCTGTATCCGTGATCAAGTGCAAACCAAAACCACCTCCTATTCCGGTACCCCCATCGCCACTGAACGCGAAGATGCCTTCGCTGCAGACACCCATAATGACTTTCACCAGCCCGTTCTTGCCGAATCAGCAGACGGTCCCAAAGGCACCAACCTCGCAGACACAGCCTGCTCTCGTGCCAACCTTTTATCCCATGTCACCGGGGTTGCCGTTCCCTTCACCCAGATACTCCTCAAGCAGCTCATCGCCAACACATTTTCAATTTCCTGCTAGTGGACTGCCGTTTGCCGGCTTCCCCCCGCTAAGTCCCTTCCCAAACCCTCCATATTCGCCTTTTGAGCTGCCGGCAGTGATCTTCTCGCCGACGAAATCCATACCAGTACTACAGTAACTTTGTAGACAGAGGCGAACATGGATTGTCAATGAAACGTTTACAAACATAAATAGTTTTGTATATAAGTTGTCATAGAGTAACGGCAAAGGACAAAGAATAATAGGGAGTACGATTACCTAATACTCTGAAATTATTCGCTTATAAGTAGGGACAATACATATATACCTGAATATCACAGCCGTAGCAAACGAAACGAAAAAAAAAAACAACGACCTCATTATATATATAATGGGAAAGAAAGCCACAGTGAAAATCATAGATACAGGGGAGCAAGGACTATTTTTGAGGAAGGATCACTCTTCGACGCTGTGTCTATTCTCTCTAACTGTAGCCTTGCGAGGCTGATCTCAAAATTCGTCCATTTCTTTCGTTGTCTGTTTGATCGTAATATTTCGTGTCTCTTTTGCTCGTTTGTTACGTACGTACGCGTTTAGTTGATTTTTCTCGACCCGTTGTATTCTACCCGTCTCTTGTCAACTAAAAACCTGCGGACCCATAACAAGAGAACCCTATTCGCAGCCAACCTCGCTCCCCCAATAAATGCATGAATCAATAAATTGCTTCTTCCAAAGTCGTATTTAGCACGAGTGCACTAGTTTGTGTGGAAACAAAGAGATCTAATGCCCTACACGCGACCTGTGATGGCTTCGCTGCAACGCTGGCATACAGAGCCCATGCGGCGTAGCAGAGCGTTTCTTCATTGATGCAGTTGAGCGGGACTAGCAACTGTCGTATGCAGGCCTCGTAGGCCTCCGTCTTACACGATATCTATCCAAATATACATAACAACATGCGTAGAGTGCGACAGATAGACGAATGTCGAATAGCTAACTCTTCAGCGGTCCCGCTTTGTCTGCATTGTGAGGGGAAAGGACGCGATTTCGCGTTTTAATTCTACCCAGTCAATCAATTTGGTGTTACTTGAATAGGGAATAGTAGCGCTTCTGATAATCGGAGTGATACAGATATTGCAAATGGTGATCATGGTGACGATACAGAATCTCGGTAGCGGCAAGCCGCATGAAGTAACGGCCTTTACTAACGGGAAGGACTCAGCAGCTGTCTGATGCGCTGTAGGCGTGCGAAACGCGAAATAAGCTTCGCGTGTATATGCTAATTAGAGTAGGTCATATATGATTGAGCCTTAACACAGCAGGTCGCGCAGTCATTCAGAAAACTAGCCCTGAATGTTAACGATAACCATAAAAGAAGCGAATGTAGTGGATATATAGAAAATGGATAACCCAAAAAACTAACTGAATTGCTATCATCGTTGTGAACAAGCGTTGCGAATCATAGAACCTTTGTTACACGTACACATACATGTATATAGGAAATGTACATATATAAATACATATATATATATATATAAAAAATTTCATATACACATAGATATAGATACATTTATATATAGAGAAAGATGACGAGCATAGACGAGACCAGGAAGCGCTAGGTAAGACCGAGCGCAGCTCCCCTGGAAAAGAAGAAGTTCTCCAGGGGAGGGACAGGTCACTGATAGAAGGATAAAAATGCGACATCCCGTGTTGCGACATCGTCGTCTTTGTTTGTTTAATGTCTGAATCATGTCGCATCAGACATATGTCATATATTCGTTCACCGTTCGATTGTAGACTAGCCACACACGCAACATAAAAAATAGACGATCAATAACACGGAAGCATTTTTGAAACTGGGCAGACATTGCGAATCAACCGTCACAACTACACACATATGTAATACAATTATATTCTTTTAGACGTCACATCAACCCTATAATCCTTTTTTTCTATCACCGTAATCCGCTTTGCGTACAGTATACACAGAGACCCCAAATGCATCCAACCCATCGTCGTTCAGGCGAGTAACCCCCGGCAAACGCTACAAATGTTACAGTTGTTTGTTCTCACTATTGCGAAGGTGGAGAAAACAGGAGGTAAAAGAACTGAATGAAATATATATATATTCAACACTTAATTATATATATAGTTAAGTGTTTATACAGGGCGGTCTTGAAAGCTGTGACGTTATGAAGAGGAACAGAGGCTACATGCTGCGCGCCGACATTGGCTACTAACGATGACAATGGAACAAGACTTTTACCATTTTTCGTTGAGACTTTGTTGGATTAGCAAAAATAGCGGACTTCGATGGATCGGCCTAGGTGGATCTATATCAATTTGAGCGTTGATGTTAAAGAACGAAACCTTAAATAAAAACCTAGTAGATTCACTGCCGATAGTTTCAACGATTATACTCCCTTTGCGCTCGGTTTATAACGCACTGTCCAGTCTAGATAAAATACGGGGACGCTGCGCACCGTGCGGCAACTATTTCACGGTTTTCTCTCTACGATAGATCAGTTATGTAGGAGCACGACGATGGCCAGTGTATTTTAATAAATTGACGTTGATAAGTTGTTCTGTACAGTTCTGTACCTCATGATATAATTAAACCGGTCAGACCAATGGGAAACTACCGATGTTTATAAGCAATGAGTATAAATAAATTTTATATGAATATAAATCTCCATATATATATATATATATATATATATATATATATATTAGCTATAAGAGAGAGCGAGAGTGAATATATGAGGAAATATGTTGAAGTGTATTGAAATCAGAGGAAATCATCTGAGAAACGAGTGTATGTCAAATAAAAATATTTTTTTCCAATGTTTTAAACGAGTTGTCTTCTACGGGCTCTAGGTTAATGTTAGTGTTTCTGGCACTTGTGAGGTAACGCTTCATCGCCGTTTAATTCTGAAATAAATACTCGTTTATATCTTTTACGCTTACGCTTTTGCACAGAAAATCACCGAAATTTAAATACAAAAATCTTCTTTGAACGACGGCGGAGCGCCACTTCTCGGACGTTTATATATATATAAGAAAAGGTTGGGTTATATGGACCAAAATTTGCTTAACCGTACGATCGAAAACAACTGCAAGCTATATGAACGATTGATGATTTCGTGCGAAGATGTTAGCCATTTAGGGAAGACAAGGAGAAATACGTTTCTATCTGACGAGGCTGTGATTATCACTAGCGAACACAATGCTTTATAAGTATTCAATATCTAGTTCGATAGAACTTATAATTTTGCTACCATAGACCCATATGAATTTTTGTTGTGCACTCGAAAGCTGTTTTGGGAATGACCCACGTACAGGCACGTCCACCGTAACGATAAATTCACTAAAAACCTTTTCAAAAGTAACCACGTGTGATATATCGCTGACTCCAACGACATATGGTGCAAAGCATGCGATACTTTATTATAACTGGACATATACACATATACGAGTGGCCCATATTGCCCCATCTCACCCTTGCCCGTCTAATGTTTAGTAATAAACTTTAAAATAACCACTTTTATAAAACGTAACTTGCTTTCTGTTTGTTTCTTACAATGTAACTTTATGTAAAAAAGTATGGCGATGATAATTTTGCTTATTCATTATTAAGAAAAAGTTTAGTGGAACATAGCTGTTCCCAAATAGCCGCACTTTTTGAAATTCGATTAAACTGAAACATCTAGTTATACGAATCTCACCTAATTTCTAAGCCATGTACACATTCTATATATATATACATATATATATATATATATATAGCACGGAGTTTTAGCACCTACGCGACTTAGAATCTATTGGATAAAGGATAGGTTTGAAACGGACTGAGCTTTATTGAGAAGTTAAAGCGAAATAGCCCAAGAAGCTAGAAGACAATTAAACCAACTGCCCATCGAATTTTGCCACGCTGTAGATAAAAAAAAAGTTACGTTTCAACATTACATGCTACATGCTATCAATTAAGGTGAGCCGGATCGAAGAAAACGACATTGTGAAGGGCATTTGGGAAAATATGAACAGAATACGTAGTTGTCGCAGAAGATTGCTTGGGACGATGAAGCTATATTAAAACTAGATAATCCAATTAATAGACCTGTCTGTACTTGCTGGGCAATTGTAAATCCACGTATTACATAGGAATGCTACGTAAATTTACCAGGAATCACAGTGTCTGGTGATATTGAAGGCAAAAAGTTAATGAGGCCATCGTTTTTTGACAGTACAGTGACCGTTGGCGATCACTCGAATTCATAATGCAGGAGAAGATTTTGATGAGGATCTTTCTACAGATGAGTTCGTCGAAGAGATCCCATTGAATATTCAGTCTGTTCCCCAAACCTGATGCTAAAGATAAATCTACGCCAGAAAGCCGAAGACACTGGAAGATTCAAAAGCTGCAGTTACCTGAGAACGCGCCAAAGTACCGAATGAAATGTTTGCTAAAGCTTGTGAATCGAGCTGAACGGTAATCATTTTGAAAATCTGTGGTTTACGGTAACCCGAAAAGTTATTGTAGATTTTTACACAATTTAAACATTGATTATATGTAAATAAAAACTGCATTTATAACCATTTAAACGATCTATATGTAGTATATATAAAATCTAATTAGGTCAGCATTGGAATAGTCAAACCGAGATTTTTTCACTTCACAAATATCTTCCCTAATACCTTGAAAATATGTATAATTATATATGAGCACCTCCCTATACGATGCATAATATATATATATATATATATATATATATATGTAAATAACACGCATCCTGAGTACTTAGCTAACTGGACTATATATATATGCGCAGTGCCCACATAAATTTGTTGCAACCGAGACGAAATTGTGGTATATTTTAAGCCAACCTAAATCGTTTGCTTTCTATTTCGATTTGTGAAATTAGAGATCAAAAAACCCTTTTATTGACAAAAATGATCAAGAATGAAAGAATGTGCAACTCATACTATCTATTCAGTAGAGATAATAGTAGAGATAAATAGCAAATTCATGCGCACGTGCACAGATAAGATCTAAGCCTTCGGTCTGACGTTGGAGCTACGAACGATTGGAAGGTTGAAAATAGCTTGAAAGCTGTCGCCAGGGGAAAGATGGATACGTTATGGTTAAAGTTACTACTACGCGTGCGACGTGGAACGTCGTACATGTGGTAGCAGCTTCATCAATCAGCAATTCGGGCGTATAAACACGGAAAATAAAGCATCTTTACTACTGTTTTTCTTTTTCTCTTTATAACAGGCATTTACTGCGAGGATACGAAAAAAGGCAGAACATGTATGGACTAGTGTCCTTTGTACGGGTCAGATAAATTAACACAGGTTACCAAGATCGTCGAACTTCTATGAAATAATATTGTTGCAAGTTCCATGAAATACGCTTGATTTTTTCCAATGAAACTAGTAGGATGTTCTTGTTCTCTTTTTTAGTTAACCGTTTAGGCTATTGTTTAACCTAGATCAGCATATCAGCGATATAAACAAGATAATTAGAGATTGTTGTAGACATGCAGGAACTTGATTGGCTTGAACCCTAATTGCGGATTGTATTATGTTACAATTGTTACAACGCAACTATCCAAATGTCTGTATAGAAATAGAACAAAAGCGTTAGCTGTGATTCGTTTTTCTAAAATGAAATTTATATATATATTAAAAACGAAAACAGGAGCTCGCAGTAGGGATTATATCGAAAGACTTGAATCTTGAACGAATACAGACCCGTTCATCTAAAGGATGCAATTTTTAAGCTACTGATATATTTTCAGTTGGTACGGAACCCAAAATGACCTAGCATTACTGTCACATAGTTATAAAGGCGCCCGAGAGGTTTTCATAGTTATGCACATAAAAACATGTTTCGGTGTAGACCGGAAGCTCAGCTCTATGCACAGCCACTAATTCGTACAAATCACCTGTTAATGACAATTAGAAGTGTGTATGTCAATGACTATTATTTTGTACGTAATGGCAATTGTTTTCAATCGTTTCGCTCCCGACATCTCTTCCGATAGGTGAGGATATCGAGGCCCATAGAGAACTTTAAGTAACGCAGAATTCTTCGAGACCTTCGACAATGGGGCTTTTGCTCGACAGGTGTCGACCTGCACTTGGATAGTACTCATGTATTTTATTTCTATAAACAGAAATGAAGCTCTGGACCATTCCTATCGCGTCTACTGAAACGTGCGGCCGGGTGGTTTATGGATAGTGCATTAGATTTAATAAAGTAGTAACTTTCTATAGTGTGCTTGTAGCTGAAACGTTCCATGGGTGAACGTGGTCTATGCTTTCTCGAAAATATATAAATAGTGCTTGATAATATAGTGAGTCGACTCGATACTGACAAACTGAATAAACTAGAGTTAGCTTGTTCATTATGTAGCATGCAACGTTTAACGCAATAGTGGCTGGGGTGGAGTTGTGCGGGTTGTTGAGTCGAGGCTGAGAAAAATACAACCAATGATCTTTCTACCGTAATTTATGCTATGATATCGAACGATTATGAAGTTTATTAAGGTTATTGCAGTTATTCTATTGTAAACTGTTTCTCTGCAATACGTTGTCAACATAAAATATTCCAGTTACAAAGCCATTCCGGTACATGATTAAGTAAGCGATCGATATGCGTTTTCCACTATAATTTCATATAGATAGAACTCGCTTGGTTGCTGTTGCCCCTTCACCACCCATTCCCTATGGCGACATGCCAAGCAACTTACTGATCGCAAGCGGTCGGGGCAGCTACAACATTGTAAATTTCTCAGGTTAACAATACGTTTTTGTACGATGTTCCATGAATACGGATTTACCCATACTCAGTTTTATTGGCTCGTGTCTTCCCAGTCACCTTCGGCTTAATTTAGGTATATATGAACAACAGCGTATGTTCAGAAAGCTTTGCCATCGAGCCTACGAATAGTAACGTATGCATCGAATGAAACAATTATCTATCACTGGATAAAGATTACTCTGTTTCGTTTGCTATACGCTTGATGCTACGTGTGGTCATGGCACATGGTCGAAGTAGGCATATTATGTCGATTGAGGCTGTATAGTTCCGGTGGCGGAAATCATTAAGTCCTTTCCTTGTAGCGCCATACAAACATTTCGATCCAAGTTCGACTAATTTTTCGGCAAATTTTAAATGGTTTCTTTTTTTGCCCCTTCACTTCCGCTGGCCGTTGCAGTGCCTGTCTCGTACGAACTGGTGCTTAACCTTTCTAATTCAAATTTAGGCGGTAAATTTAGCATCCAGCTAAACTAGCCGCCGGCCAAGACAATAGTAGTTACTTCATCATCGATGGATGATTCAGATCTGTGAATGCAATATGTCACAATGAATAGTATGTAACGCTACAGCTCTTCATGCGGTCTCGCAAAAGTTCAAGTTTCGTAGCAAACCATCACAGTTATCTAACCTAAATTATCTCTTTAATTCAACGTACCCAGTCATTATTTATTACTGGATAAAATCAGTCATTTGAACACATTTCGATTGGTATCGTTTTTAATATCCGAAAATTGATGCTGTATTGCCTTGCATTGCATTGCAACACTGCATTACTTCATGTGGTACGTGTATTTCAGTTGAACAATACGTCATTGACTATTAAATACATTGTGATAACCTCTTTCACTCCTTTTGTTATTGTTTCCATAGTAGTAAAGCACAAACTTAAACCCGGCATGAAAATACTGATCGTTGTTCTAAAAGCTATCGGCTACTTAAACCGGCAGTCTTAGACTACTGAATACAAATGTCATGATATATTGACTCGAGCGATTCATCATTTCGAGTGTTCCGCTGAGCTCGTGAAACGCTTTGGAGAAACACTTCCCAAAGTCATATATATATAGCTACTTGATAGTGTTTTGTGAAGGTCCTTGCCTGTATAAGGCATGCAGATATCTACGAGCCCATGAGGTTTGAATCACGAAGAACAAAATGGAGATAAGCGTGACTCAGTTCTTGTGGTTGAAGAATAACTCGTACTTCGTTTGGGGTTATGCTAAAAGAAGCATACTCTCACGTCACACGGAACTTTGCCGTTAGTAGTTGAGTAATGATGTGTAAGGTAAGCAATGTGCAAGATCCACAAAGCCGTTCTTTCATGCTCCTTTCAACTGAAAATGTGTTCGTCATTTATAACAAGGTTTGGGTAGGTGATTGTTTAAAACGTACTTGCTGTTTATTGCGGCAAGTTCGTCACCCGAATTTTAAAATGAACAAAGCTTCTCTCTAAACAGCGTAACAATGTTTATCCTAAATAGGATCAGATTATTCCTATTCCTAGGAAATTGCTGAGGGATAGCAAAATAGTGAAGTTTGGTTTATGCTGTAGTCTACTAATATTTTTATCACTAATATTACTGCCGTTATTATTGCGAGGTCAAGTCTTTTTATTATAATAGAGTGTGTCGTTGTTGCCTAATTAGACCATGTATCGAGTACCCCCGACTTTGATTAAATATACGATTATTTTTACGTTCAACTAGCGGATCTACACGTCCACTGACATGTAAGGAAACCCTTAGGAACGAGAAAATTCAAGTAGGAACTAAGGCCC